TAGTTTATGAAATATACTTCTAATCCACTAGTTTATGAAATATACTTCTAATCCACTAGTTTATGAAATATATTTATAATCCACTAGTTTTCTGCTGCAGTGAATTCCGAATGAAACTAATTTAGAAAAGAGATATATTGTTATAAAATCTTTAAATCAAATATTTTTGGCTGAATTTGATGTTTATTCAAGGTATTCATGGTAAATATATTCATAAATTCAAACTGAAGAACGGGTATAACCTATAAAACATTGGTCTTCGAAAATATATATTTAAAAATATAAAATGTATATTCAAACTGAAAAAAAGTTGAAAAATCTATTTTTTTATACTTTACTTTGCTTTGTTTGTATCCAATGAGCGTAAAAACGAAGATCGAAATTAAAAAATAATTTGCTCTTAAAACTGTCGAAATTTATTATTTTTTGAAAATCCCATTTTTAAAACAAAAAAGTTCGCAAAAGTTTACACCGTTATTTTTTTAATGATATAAAAATATATGAAATAAAAGTTATGATCATTAAACGAAAAAAAAAACAATTAAGAGCTCTTATTGGAAGAAAGAGTGGCACAAGAAGGCCTATTTATATAATTAAGATATTGTATATTTAGAAGATTTGTGTATAAATGTTATACGGAGATAATAACAAATTCAAGGAAAGAAATTTTCCTGGAGAAGATATTTAGAATTCCTAAATCTCTCGACTTTACATAACGTTTAAATAAATAGTTGGCGGAAGATTTGAAATATATAAAATAGAATCCGTTAAACTATAAACATGCTACTTGCTTTGTTTATACATATATATACAAGCAGTTTATCCCACTCAATCTTTGGAACACTTCCTGTCATTTTTTGAGGCGAAGTTTAAAATTGTAAAAAAAAAGACATAAATATTTAATTTGTTTTTTAGTCAACTTTTATCATCGAAATCGTCACTCAATTCTCATGTTTATTAGGACACCCAGTATATTAGAATATATCCAGGGTTTCTGGTCTAAAATACATAAGAATTTATCCAGGTTTTCTGGTCTAAAATACGTTAGAATCTATCTTGGTTTTCTGGTCTAAATACGTGAGAATATATCCAGGGTTTCTGGTCTAAATATGTGAGAATATATCCAGGGTTAATGGTCTAAATACATGAGAATCTATCCACGGTTTCTGGTCTAAATACGTGAGAATATATCCAGGGTTTCTGGTCTAAATATGTGAGGATATATCCAGGGTTTCTGGTCTAAATACATTGGAATATATCCAGGGTTTCTGTTCTTAATTCTTTAGAATATATCCAGGGTTTCTGGTCTAAATACGTGAGTATATATCCAGGGTTTCTGGTCTAAATACATTGGAATATATCCAGGGTTTCTGTTCTTAATACTTTAGACTATATCCAGGGTTTCGGGTCTAAATACATAAGAATTTATTCTATGTTTCTTGCCTAAATACATTAGAATTTATCCTGGGTTTCTTGTCTAAATACATTAGAATATATCCTGGGTTTCTTGCCTAAATACATTAGAATTTATCCTGGGTTTCTTGTCTAAATACATTAGAATCTAACTAAGGTTTCTGATCTAAATAAATCAAAATCAAACCAGGGTTTCTAATGTATCTTCCATGGTATAAAATAAGTGGGTCTAAGTTGTCAACTTAAGTTTAATGCTATAGATGATGTATGTGTATATATATATATATAGATGATGTATGTATATATGTATATATATAGATAATGTATGTATACGAACAACTAATTTAATATTCTTTCATAGGCAAGATAATTCTAGTAATTTTTTATATTTATATCTGAACAAACTGCGCAAAAAATACATTTACGCACCTCTATGTATATACAAGCATATGTACTTGTATATTTTTACATGCGCGCATTGCATACCTTATGGCGGTGAAACTCTTGGAAATGTTGCCTCTGATGCATGAATTAAATTTACTCCTAGAATTATAATTGGTTTTGGTTTAGTTGTAACTTGTATCCAGGTTCCGGTGTTGGTAGAGAGAAATCCAGCTCCGGTATACAGTTTACCTCTAGTATTATATAGATATCAGAGTAGTGATAATTAGTTCTTAGTTATATATCTGTAGACTAATTATGCATCTACACCAGTGAGAACCAATACAGTGAATAAACATTTATTAAAGAAATAACATAAAAGAAAAAACGATAAACATGAATTTGTGTGGTCTATTCCTCTCATATGCATTCCTTATCACTAATTTGTACGCAGTGGAAGCAAAACAAATTGCGGGTTATGGAGATTCATCCAACATACGACAATCTAGTAGGGCCATATACAGCTCGGACTGGTTTCAATCCTTTGTAGATACATTAAACAAACAAGATGATGCAAACCTGAGTTCGAAAAAAGCTTCCCCCGAACTGGAGAGAAACTATAAAAATAACTTTGCAGAAATTACTGCAAAGAGAGAATTAATTTTCTCTGAACCAGAGCAGAGTCAGGAAAATGAGGAGAAGGATGAAAATATCTTATCTATATCAAGACCTAATATGGATTCAAGTACGGATACAAGTAAAGAGTTAGAGGATAGTGAGAAGGACGGATCAACCGAGGAAACTCTAGGAATGAATATGTATCTAGTAGTATATAAACTATATGAATGAATATGTATCTATTAGTATATAAACTCTAGGAATGAATATATATCTAGTAGTATATAAACTCTAGGAATGAATATGTATCTAATAGTATATAAACTCAAGGAATGAATATGTATCTAGTAGTATATAAACTCAAGGAATGAATATGTATCTAGTAGTATACAAACTCAAGGAATGAATATGTATCTAGTAGTATACAAACTAAAGGAATGAATATATATCTAGTAGCATATAAACTATAGGAATAAATTTGTTTCTAATAGTATACAAACTCTAGGAATGAATATATATCTAGCAGTATATAAACTATAGGGGAATCTGGGAAATATATCTAGGGGTTTAACTCTGAACAGGTTGGGGTGGGGGCGTTTGGCTCCCCACCCCCGTGTAGTATTTTTGTCCGAGCACTCTCCTTTTTGACACTATCGCCGTGATTTTTTTTTACTTTTAATAAATAGTAATTTAAAATTTTTTCATTTTTTATTTATAGGGTACAGGGGGAAAAAAGTCTGGTCTGTGAAAAAAAATCTAAAAAGCCCATAACCTTTTTGTGACTAAAGCTACGGATCTAAAAGCTATAGTTTTATAAAGCCCTTGAAAAATGCATGTAGAAACATGTGTCACACTTTGATATTTGTTTTAAAAAAAGATTTCTTCACTTTTTTACCCTTTTTAGGCATTTTTTCAACCCTCCCTGGCACCCAAACTATTAAAGTTATCGGTCTAATTTTTTTCTATGAGCTGGCCTTGAAAGATTGGGCTATGAATATGCATTTCAACCCTGTACCTATTCTCTAAGGCCTTTTCTAGAGAGGGCGCCAGGCTATGCATAGATTCAGACCCCCCAGCCTTTACAGGGTTAACACACTAAGACTGAATCTATGATTACTCTGAAACTAACCCATCTCTACTAATTTATCTGCCTAATCTTCTCTCTGGTAATGAACCATAAAACGGGGATTTAGTCAATATCATGGACTTATCCCAACAGCTATCAACAGTTCTGAGAAACTGCTTGGGATTGAGATAACTGTAAGCTTTCTACAAGCTACAGTCTGGTCTTGTGTATACCCAAATATTGACGGGGATACTACACCCTGTTCTTGTGTATACCCAGATATTGACGGGGATACTACACCCTGTTCTTGTGTATACCCAGATATTGACGGGGATACTACACCCTGTTCTTGTGTATACCTTGACGGGGATACCAGGACCTTGTCTTGTGTGTACCCAGATATTGACGGAGATACCAGGACCTGGTCTTGTGTCCTATATACCCGGATATTGACGGCGATATAAGGACCTTGTCTTGTGTCCTATATACCCGGATATTGACGGTGATACCAGGACCTGGTCTTGTGTCTTGTATACCCGGATATTGACGGAGATACCAGGACCTGGTCTTGTGTCCTGTATACCCGGATATTGACGGTGATACCAGGACCTAGTCTTTTGTCCTGTATACCCGGATATTGACGGCGATACCAGGACCTGGTCTTGTGTCCTGTATATCCGGATATTGACGGCGATACAAGGACCTGGTCTTGTGTCCTGTATACCCGGATATTGACGGTGATACCAGGACCTGGTCTTGTGTCCTGTATATCCGGATATTGACGGCGATACAAGGACCTGGTCTTGTGTCCTGTATACCCGGATATTGACGGTGATACCAGGACCTGGTCTTGTGTCCTGTATATCCGGATATTGACGGCGATACAAGGACCTGGTCTTGTGTCCTGTATACCCGGATATTGACGGTGATACCAGGACCTGGTCTTGTGTCCTGTATATCCGGATATTGACGGCGATACAAGGACCTGGTCTTGTGTCCTGTATACCCGGATATTGACGGTGATACCAGGACCTGGTCTTGTGTCCTGTATATCCGGATATTGACGGCGATACAAGGACCTGGTCTTGTGTCCTGTATACCCGGATATTGACGGTGATACCAGGACCTGGTCTTGTGTCCTGTATATCCGGATATTGACGGCGATACAAGGACCTGGTCTTGTGTCCTGTATACCCGGATATTGACGGTGATACCAGGACCTGGTCTTGTGTCCTGTATATCCGGATATTGACGGCGATACAAGGACCTGGTCTTGTGTCCTGTATACCCGGATATTAACGGTGATGCCAGGACCTGGTCTTGAGTCCTGTATACCCGGATATTGACGGCCATACAAGAACCTGGTCTTGTGTTTACCCGGATATTTAAGGACAATCTAAGGTCAGAACTTTTGTATTAGTAATTCATTTAGAATTACCAATAATTGTAGCTTGTAATTGTATCATTAAGATCAATAATGAAAAAGGCTTAATATTAAAAAATATCAATATTAAAGTATTAAGGTATTACTCTGTTTAAATAACAAAGACGTCAATAACAGATACGTTGGCATGTTAAATACCAACTTATAGAACCTCTTGCTGAGTTTATGTTATGGAAAAATATTTAGAACAAAATAATTAATAGAATTGATTATGTGACGCAAACAATTTTTATCTTTCGTTTATAAACTGTAAAACTGGTTCATTATAAATAATTTTAATCTAAAACAAATAAAACCTGAATAGGTTTGAAATCTACGTGAATGGGCGAGTGTGCGGGCTCACAAAACTCTGGAGCTAGGTTAATTAAGAAAACATATTCAAATGTAGAGATGTTACCAACTCCAGCTTTCTGGGTGGATGCTCCAACCTGCCCTGCTTGGGGGAGCATGGACGGGTTCTACGCTCTAGGGATACAGGATACACAGGTTCTATTAGTACTAGGATACAGGCAACACAGGTTCTTTTAGTACTAGGATACAGGATACACAGGTTCTAATAGTTCTAGGATACAGGACACATAGGTTCTAGCAGTACTAGTATACAGGATACACAGGTTCTATTAGTTCTAGGATTAGGAGAACTATGGACGGGTTCCATTGGTACTAGGTGTAGGAGAAGTATGTACGGGTTCCATTGGTACTAGGTGTAGGAGAAGCATGGACGGGTTCTAGACTTTACAAAGTTTCAAATTGTAGAAGGAGAAGTGGGACTGTGAAGGATTCTAGACTAGATAGATGTTTTTGTCCAAAACTCTGATTTTCAAATCCCTATATCTTTGCAACCCAATGTGCAAGAAATTTTTTGGTGCCACTCATGAGTAACCTGAGTGTAAAATAAAAATAATCAAATTATTTTTCAATTTTTTTTACCAAGGGCAACGCTGGGTCCTTCAGCTAGTTTTGAATAAGAAAACAAGGATATCTCCATTATTTTTTGACTAATCCGTTAAGGGTCAAGTGGACTTCTTTTTAGGAAACAATTTTTAACTATCTTGTTGATTAAAAAGTTCTTAGCTCTGGATTTCTTTAAAATTTGATTTTCTAATATTTTAACATTTTGTAAGAAGGAAAGACTTACTTGCTCTCTCTCTCTCTTTGAGAATTATACATTTTCCTTTAAGATGGATTTCCTAAACTTCATATTTTAATTAAACTTCAAGATATTAAAGATAATTGTAAAGATAGGGCAATAGTTTAACATTATTTTAGTAACATTTCTCGAATCCTTCGCGTACAAAATATTTAAAACTTTTACATGAAATTACAACTAAAGATTGGGTTATTACCCATCAAATATTTTGAGATGAAAAGTATTTAATAATTCATAAATTTTACTAGCTTAGAAAATATTTACTTTATTGCATGTTTATTGTACAGATATAGGAGGATGAGCGGGGGGGGTGGATGGGGGGGTCTATTATGTATATTGAAATTTGGTTTAAAATTCTCCGGATAAAATATGAGTAGATGGTATCTACACTGAATATTTAAGTTCGATGCTTCTCAAGGTTCCATAGAACGATTTCAGATAAGATTAAGATTAAGATTAAGATTAAGATGAATATTAATATTAATAATATGATTAAGATTAAGATTAAGATTAAGATTAAGATTAAGATTAAGATTAAGATTAAGATTAAGATTAAGATTAAGATTAAGCTTAAGATTAAGATTAAGATTAAGATTAAGATTAAGATTAAGATTAAGATTAAGATAAAGATTAAGATTATTAAGATTAAGATGTAGATTAAGATGAAGATTATGATTATGATTAAGATTGAGATTAATATTAAGATTAATATTAAGATTAAGACTAAGATCAATATTAAGCAAAAGATTAAGATTAAGATTAAGATTAAGATTTAGATTAAGATTAAGATTTCCTGATTATAATTTATTATATTTCAGTATATAAGAAGATGGTTCCTGATTACAATTGATTATATTTTAGTATATGGGAAGATGGTTCCTGATTAGATTGATTATATTTCAGTATATGGGAAGATGGTTCCTGCAGGCAAAAACTAAAGATATCTCGGATTACTCAGGTATAATTGCACTTTAAAATATATCAATAGTTTTGTTCTGCTTTCTCCAGGCCTTCTCTATAATTCAATCGTAAAGTTTACATGTTTGTAATCATTAACTCTAAATCGATATTTCATACAATATGTGTGAGGGAGGGGGGTAGATGATTGAAGTTATTTTGAACAAAATATCAAATACCTTTTTTGTCCTATTTCTTTAGCCTTTTAAGAAATTTCAGGCAGTAAAATTTTTATTGAAAAGGACGAAGGTTGTAGGATTAAGTTTGTCGAGTGTAGAGTGTAGATTTTAGAGTGCAGATTGTAGAGTGTAGAGTGTAGAGTGTAGAGTGTAGAGTGTAGAGTGTGGAGTGTAGAGTGTAGAGTGTAGAGTGTAGAGTGTAGAGTGTAGAGTGTAGAGTGTATAGTGTAGAGTGTGGAGTGTAGAGTGTAGAGTGTAGAGTGTAGAGTGAGGAGTGTGGAGTGTCGAGTGTAGAGTGTAGAGTGTAGAGTGTAGAGTGTGGAGTGTCGAATGTAGAGAGTAGAGTGTAGAGTGTAGAGTGTAGAGTGTAGAGTGTAGAGTGTCGAGTGTAGATAGTATAGTGTAGAGTGTAGAGTGTAGAGTGTAGAGTGTATAGTGTAGAGTGTAGGCTGTAAAGTAAAAACTATAGATTGTAGAATGATGAGTGGAAGGGTGTATAGAATAGAATAGATTAAATATGGTTTATAGAATACAGTGAAGGGTGAAGGGTGTATAGAATGTATTAAAGGGTGAAGGGTGTAAAGAATATATTTTTAAAGGGTGAAGGGTGTATTGAATAGAGTGAAGGGTGTATATAATATATTAAAGGGTGAAGGGTGTAAAGAATAGATAAAAGTGTGAAGGGTGTATTGAATAGATTGAAGGATGAAGGGTGCAAAGAGTATAAAGAATAATCAACTGTAAATCCTATTGACAAAGACAAATAATGAATATATTGCAGAACACTGCTGGACAATTGAGTACACGTTGAACAGAAGGCGAGGAACAATCTCACGTCAATCTCATTACTTCACTCTCATGTAAGGTTCAGAAGAAACAATATCATCCTGATACAGATCCATGTATAATCCTGTCCCGCTCTAGTCTACTCGTTAACTCCATTATTAAGATTACATAGAACAATACAGAATATATTTAGTTCTAACGATAAGTTTAATGAAATCCCTGAGGACCAGGGAGTTCAGACCATCCCATAAGATCTCTAGGAAACCAGGAAACAAGAGGAAACGAATCCATGGAAATCATGGAACCCTGAGAATTCATCAAACTCTGGAAATCCCTGTACACAGGTTTGGAAGGATTCAAAGATCGGGGATCTAAAAGATATTGGGATATGGGATATGTTTATGCTCTCACGTAAAAATCAAGCAGTATTTTTCCAATTACTCTTTTTAAACTTAATCTAGAAACAAGCGCATTACAGTTTTAAAATGTATATGCCAAGGGATACAAAAAATACAATATTAGTTGGTGAGTTAAGACCAAGGTGTTGCGACACTTTAAAGTTGAGTTGTCTAGATCTCAGTACAGGGATGAAACAAAAACTTACAAGGTGTTGCGATACTTTAAAGTCTAGTTGTCTAGATCTCAGTATAGGGATGAAACAAGAACTTACAAGGTGTTGCGACACTTTAAAGTCGAGTTGTCTAGATCTCAGTATAGAGAGGAAACAAGAACTTACAAGGTGTTGCGACACTTTAAAGTCAAGTTGTCTAGATCTCAGTATAGAGAGTAAACAAGAACTTACAAGAATTCAGAAGAAAAAGCTTATCCAGGTAGGAAAGGAAACTGGAGGAACCCAGGAAAATCAGAGGACCATGGATGCATAGGTAACCCTGGAAACCGAGGATAACCAGAAAACCTAGGGAACCTAGGGATTCGAGGAAACCATTGAACTTAGGAAACTAAGGGAAGCCAGGTACATAGAGAACTCAGGAAACCAAAGGACTCCAGGAAAACATTAAACCCAGAAAAATTGAACATAAGAAAACTTAGGGAACAAAGAAAAGCGTTGGAATCCTGGAACCCAGTAAAGCCATAGAACCCGGAGAGTCTAAGAAAACCATGGAATCACAGGAACCAAGGAAACAAGGGAACTTTAGAACCAAGGAAAACAATGGAAGTCCAGGAACTATGGAAGCCATGGAACTCCAGGAACCAAGGGAACCCATGGAACCCCAGAAATTAAGAAATTCCATGGGAATTCAGGAACCAAGCAACCCCATTGAACCCAAGGAACCAAGGAAACCCAGGAAGCTCTAGAAACCCATCTAAATTTAAGAATTCAAAAGAATCCAGTGTAGTAAGAAACCCATGTAAGGAAACCCATCCCATTAATAAAAAGTAAGAGCTCCGTAAATCCTTCTGAATTTAATGAAAAGCTCGATGCCTAGTAAAAAGTTTAAGTTTTTATTAAAATATAAGCTGAGGTAGAGTCCAATATCCCTCTAGCATATCTTCTCACTATTCTCTAGAGAATACTTTATCAAGACCATATTGTACTGTAGAACTACTATGTTCTCAGCACACCAGGAAACCAAGATTATCCTTGGCTCAACGAGTAGAAAAATAAATTTGTTTCAGTGGAAACTTGAAGAGAGAGGAGGAGGGAGAAGTTGAAATATCTGAACCTCTGGATCCGAACCTGCTCCTCTATAGATCCAATGATGGTTTACTCCCATCATTAATCCCAGGTTGGTTAATATTAAACTCGAAAATTTAAAGTTTGACGTTTCTCAAAAATTCTTAACAAAGAAAATATTTTCATTAAAATCAGGAGAGAGTGTATTAGATCAGAAAAAATTAAATGACGTCAGATTTAGAAAATTAATTTTAGGATCGTTATTTTACTCTCACTGTAAACTCTGGTTCCTTTCAAGTACACCGGGCTAGAGCATGCAGTACATATACGGCAAACCGAAACAGGACACCGCCAAATGGAGTTTCTAGTGTACTAAGAATTTTAAATTCAGATTCTAAGAAGTATACGGTCTTTTTTTCGTTAGGTTATTATTGCTTGATGACAATTCTTCCATATGTTCTTAGAAAGATTTTAGAGATAGAAATTGACAGCTTTGAGCTTTACAGATGTCATTTGCTGTTTTTAAGTTTGAAGGTTCAGAGGTATAAATTGATGGTTAAGAGATTTAGAGGTATAAATGTGTTTTTGGTTTTGAGGTATAAAGGTATTTTTTAATGTTTAGAGCTGTTTAAATTCTATGTTTTTCAGTTTTAGAGATATAAATTAAAAGTTTTTAAGGTTTAAGTTGTAAATTGATGTGTTTTAAGGCTTAGTGATATAAGAAGATAAAATTTTTTACTTAATTTGATTAATCTAAATATACTAGGTTCTGAGTCCTGGATCCGGGTACTGGCAACAGATTATGAAACCTTTAGTATCGAGTACACCTGCTCAGACTCTAATCTAATAAAACGACAAGGTTAGATTGGATTTTCTGTAGGTAGGAACACATCCTAGATTATATTCACCTTAAAGCTGTCTCATCTTAAAGGTAGATAAAAAAGTGTTGAGACTTTTTTTTCTTAATCTGTCTTTTCAACATACCAGTTTTGATAGTAAGGGTTGTGTCTTGAGTATTTCTTAATTAAAAATAGTTGTAACGTAAGTACACTTTAAAACGATACACTCGAACCTATTTATTGGAAAACTTTAAATTGAAAATATTTAGTACATTTAAAATAAACTTTATAAGAGCTTTGTTGTATAGCAATTTGTTCTTTTTATTCTTTTTTATTCTGCTTTTTCATTTTTCTTTTCTTTTTCACTGTTTCCTCTTTATTTTTCCATCCTACTGGTCCACACCTCTGTTCCAATCTACTGTTCCATCATACTGTTCCATACCAATGTTCCATTCTTCTGTTCCATTCTTCGGTTCCATCTTATAGTTACATCCTTCTGTTCCCCTTGAATGGTCCAATCTTCTGTTAGCTGTTCCACTGTTTTACACTTCTCTTTGACTCTTATTCTAATGTTCCTTTCTTTTCTAACGTCCTAGTGTTTCATTCTTCTGCTTATTCCTACTGTTTCATCCTTCTATTACTTTCTTCTTTTCCTTCCTGCTGTTTCATTCTTCTGTTCCTTCCTACTGTTTCATCCTTCTGTTACTTCCTTCTTTTCTTTCCTACTGTTATATCTTTCTGTTCCTTCCTACTGTTTCATCCTTCTGTTCCATCCTACTGTTTTATCCTTCTGCTTTTTCCTAATGTTTCATCCTTCTGGTTAATCCTATTTTCTAACCTTCTGTTTCATTTTAATTAGTTCATTCTAGTGTTCCAATCCTTCTGTTCTATTCTACTGTTACTTAAAGCTGTGCCATCTGACTGTTCCATCTGACTATTAAATCCTAATGCTCCATTCTAATTTTCCATCATAATATTCCATCCTGCTCAACTCAATATCTATGTCTATTGTCTAGAGAATATCTGGATATATACTCGGGAAAGAATACCTGGAACATCTGTACTTAACCGAGCATACAGAACCCTTGTTCGTTTAAATCTCCAGGGTTACAAACTACTAAGGACGGATCAGGGGAAATGTCCAATCCCTGAGAGAACGGAGATAAGAGAACATGTGGATCCTCCAATGCCAAGAAACAGTAAGATTGGTCCACCATCTACAGGTTGTATTTTTAATATTGTAAATTTTTCAAACACCAAATTAATATGAATATGGAGTAGATTATCTCAAATATCTTTACTTAATTAACTTTTATAAATTTTGAAAAGATAATTTACAAATATTTTTATTTGCCTAATTGTTTTTAATATTGAGCAGATTTTGTCGTTATTTCTAATTGCATATTTTTAAACCCATATTATGTAATTTATGTCAAACATTTAGATTCCGTATCTTCTTTAATAAATAATATTTATGAACAGAAGAAAAAACGATGATGCTGTTAAGCGGTGGACTCCGTTTGGTCCAATCCCTTCTAGCTCCATGGACCCTTCATCCAGTGCTAGGGTTTACTCCGACCCAACCGGAGACAGAGAGAAGGGAGATGAAACCCTTTCGGAGATCATTTAACGAAGCAAAGAGAAAAAATATATATCGAGGATTAAGAACAAGGAAAGAAAATAGATATTCTCCAGGGTATAAATGAATATGTAAACACAAAGATTTAATATGATAAGTCGTCTTTGATTTTTCTTGACATAAAGATCTCAAAACATACATCTTAAAGAATATGATTTACAACATGAACCTAAACCAATCAAAGACGACATTTTCTATTAGATCTGTATATTTAGACCTCGATGTTTTTATGAATATCATGGATACAAACAATACTATGCATTGGTTGTATTGTATATCAGCTTGTAATAATCCGATATGTGTTCCCTATATTCCACGAATAAAGAAAATTGAATAAACAATTATTCTTATTATTTTGTTGAGAAAATGTAGTAATAAATGTATAAATAATTCAAGATGACAGGTGTCAGTTCTGTTCTATAATAAAACTGCTTTCCTTCTACGGAGAGCTAATGAATAGTGTTTTTGTTTCTAAGATATTTTCAAGGACCTGAAGACGAAACTTTTGTTTAGGACATCTGGTCAAACCTAGGATTACTAAGTTTAGGATATCCGGCCAAACCTAGGATTACTAAGTTTAGGATATCCGGCCAAACCTAGGATTACTAGGTTTAGGATATCCAGTCAAACCTAGGAATGATAGGTTTAGGATATCTGGTCAAACCTAGGATTAATAGGTTTAGGATATCCGGTAAAACCTAGGATTACTAGGTTTAGGATATCCGGTAAAACCTAGGATTAATAGGTTTAGAATATCCGGTAAAACCTAGGATTACTAAGTTTAGGATATCCGGTCAAACCTAGGATTACTAGGTTTAGGATATCCGGTCAAACCTAGTATTACTAGGTTTAGGATATCCGGCCAAACCTAGGATTACTAGGTTTAGGATATCCGGTAAAACCTAGGATTACTAAGTTTAGGATATCTGGCCAAACCTAGGATTACTAGGTTTAGGATATCCGGTCAAACCTAGGATTATAAGGCTTAGGATATCCGGTTAAACCTAGGATTACTAGGTTTAGGATATCCGGTCAAACCTAGGATTAATAGGGTTAGCCAGTGTTGTGCATCAGTTCTTCACATGTGCTACCAGCTAAACCTAGAATGTCTAGGGTTATCCTGTGCTGTGCATCAGTTCTTCGCATATGATACCGGCTGAACCTAGAATTTCTAGACCTAAAATTTCTAGGTTTATTCGGTGTTGTGCGTCAGTTCATCAAATGCCATACCGGCTAAACCCAGAATTTCTAGGTTTATCGGGTGTTGTGCATCAGTTCTTCACATGTGCTACCGTCTAAACCTAGAATTTCTAGGTTTATCCGGTGTTGTGCATCAGTTCTTCGCATGTGCTACCGGCTGAACCTAGAATTTCTAGGTTTATCCGGTGTTGTGCATCAGTTCTTCACATGTGCTACCAGCTAAATCTAGAATTTCTACGCTCTCGGTATAGTTCATGGCCTATACAATTAGTAAAGGATTAGCGTACATCATCACTCTATACACTATAACCTCGTTGACCTGATTTCAGGCCCCACCCCCTTTCAAGATATTTCCCATCCCCAAGAAATTCTTCGTTTCTTTGCGAATCATCTTCAAAAATCTTGCATCCAGAATTCTAAAGGTTTAAGATATCACAACAACTTTAGAAAAGACGTTTTTCTCATGGACAAACTAAAATTCGGCCATGCACAAACCATGGAAAATATTTCATGTGGTGATTAATTCTAAAAATCAACTGATACTAGCAGACATTTTTTGTCCAGCTATAACAAGATCGATAAAACCGTCTTGGAACATAAAATTTAAAAAAAACCTTGAATTCCGAAAAGGTTAAAAAAATTGCAATAAAAATAATTATTCCAGAGCAGAAAATTTTAAGAACACCAAAACTGACATATTTTTTAAATAAGTTTCAAATTCATTTTTTGTGTGTCATGTTTGCCTCTCCTAGCGTTGGTAAAATTTCTTTTTGCAACTTTTCTATTTTTATGTGTATTATCTGGCGTTTTTCTCCTATTCCTGAAAATATCCTGATTCTTTGTCTTTTTATTCCTATTTTGTATAGTTACCCTTATATAGTGTACTAGCTGTAGCTGTGTTGCCCGTGGATTAAAAAAATCGAATTTTGAAAAAAAAATTCAGTCTTGTTACCCAGGGGGTACTCAAGGGTTCCCTCAAAAACAGCCATTTTGGTCGAGCCGTTTGGCAAGCTATATAGCTAACATATTTATACAAATATATATAGATGAGTTAATAGCTTTAATATATGGATATATTATAGCATTTAGCAGAACTTTTAATCTTTATACATATCTTGATTGTTTTTCACTATGTAAAAAATCTCATACAGTGATAAGAATTTTTTTAACAATTGCTAATACAAACCTACCTCTTTATCTGTTTAATTCAAACCTAACCTATTTATCTATACAATTCAAACCTAACCTCTTTATCTATTAATAATAATAATAATAATGTATTTTTTACAATTCGGTCGATGACTAAAAGGTCTGCCACCGTTAAAAATTTAGCCCTAGTTCTATAAATCTATCTGCAGCCTACACGTACGTACACATACGTATGTGGTATACAGTGAGGCCCATTAAATAGTGGAATAGAAAGACGACTCAAGGAATTGTCCAGTGTACAAGACCTGTTTCACCCAACAAGATGATTTTAAAACTACTAATAAAACTATTTGTGCTTTTTAATAACATGAAATTAGATTGCTCTAATGTCATTTTTCTATTCCACAGTTTCCAATGTTTAAATCTAAAATGTTTGTTTTCAAATACAAAATGTAAAATGTTTCTCGACAATATTTCCTTGTAAAGGAATTCTTACATTGTTGTCTGCAATCCTCGGAGAAATTTGGAAACAAGAAAAGAGTTTGAATCTTTTTATGTTTATCGTTTTATCCCAGCTTTCTTGGAAATAGGTGAATACAATATTGTAAAAAATACAAATAAACATAAAAATAAATTTACCACCATAAATACGAAGACAACTTTGAACTAACTGTTTAATTTATTCAGATAGTGTGCATTTCATGATTAACACAAGAAACATTATATTTTAGAAATATCTGATTGCCAAAATATTGTCCGCATTTATTTTTAAATTTTTCACGTTTTGAAAATGTTTAACAAAAATGGTTTTCATAATTTTTCACCAAATATTTATTAAAAAAATGAAAAGTGTTAAGTTTTTTGAACTTTTTATTAGAATTGTTTGTGTGTTTTAGATGTTGTTGTTGTTTTTGTTATTTAATTCACTATAACTATGAATTAGAAAGCTCCTCGAGTATATTTTTCAATTTTTATCTTTGCGAAACACTGTTAAAGTTAAAGACAGCCACCCTATTAATTTAATTAAATATTTATGCTTCAAAACTTTACAAATATGTTAAGATGCTTAAAGAACCCTCAAGAACCCTTAAATACGCTAATCAAATAGCTGAAAGATTACATTATATAAACTCTTAAGACCGATTAATTGTGGTAGGTTTTAAAAACATTGTAAAGGAAGAAAATCCTCGAAAGGTGATTATAAACGCCCAAGTCAGTATTGTCAGATTCTGGAACCAGAGAAGACCTACTCATCTTCCTCTCCTTTAATATTTATATTCTTGATCTATTTCTTTTAGATTCAATAAATACTTCTAAAACATCGAATTGTTTTTTTCCACATATCAGAGCATAAAGGGAAAAGTTAATTTGCAAATTTTTTGTATTTCTTATGTTTAAAGAAATAAAAAAATTTCTTGAATAATGCCTCGTGTATATGTTTTAACTTGCATGTTGGTTGATAAGTGATCAGTCTGTGCTCCATTAGTGAATATATCCCTTGATTAATAACTATCTAAGATCTCTCCATCCATACCAAATACATGCATATTCCTAATCAAATCTATACAAACCAGAGAGAGAATAAGTATTCATTTAATTACATTTATATTATATAATTCAGATATATGGAGAAAACATGAATGTACTTTATGTATACATATACATTATACATATATACACATATCTACATTATATTGCATTATACATACGTACATATAGAGTATACATATATACATATCTACATTATTTTGCATTATACATACATACATATACATTATACATATATACATATCTTCTTATACATTTTCTATGAAAACCCTTCAGAATGTGCAAATCAGTTTTTGTACTGAGCCAGGTAACAAGAGCATATCTGAATTTAAAGTGATTTCTATACTCCGGGTATGAGATGATAAAGAAGTAAAGGTTTCTATACTCCGGGTATGAGATGGTAAAGAGGTAAAGTTTTCTATACTCGGGTATGGGATGGTAAAGAAGTAAAGGTTTCTATACTCCGGGTATGAGATGGTAAAGAAGTAAAGGTTTCTATACTCCAGGTATGGGATGGTAAAGAAGTAAAGGTTTCTATACTCCAGGTATGGGATGGTAAAGAAGTAAAGGTTTCTATACTCCGAGTATGGGATGGTAAAGAAGTAAAGGTTTCTATACTCCGGGTATGGGATGGTAAAGAAGTAAAGGTTTCTATACTCTGGGTATGGGATGGTAAAGAAGGAAAGGTTTCTATACTCCGGGTATGGGATGGTAACACAGCAAATTTAAGGATATATTTCTCTGTTCTCAGTATGGGATTGTATTTTAGTCTACTGCGGCATTATGAAGGTTTTGGCTTCTTTATTTCTAATGCGGCAAAGAGCAGTCCAATTCTCCAATTCTCCTTGTGAAATGAAATTGCTTTATGGGGGTTTCTTCTCTAGTGTAAGAATTCAAGAGGAGAGGGTAGAGATATAAAACAGAAAATGTATTTTTATTTCTAAAATTCTTGTAGAATAATTTCGTTAGAACGAGAAAAATTCATTCCTCCTGGTTATAAAATAAACAACATTAGCTCTGTACACCCTGTACACTGTACAGCATATTAATGTTGGGAAATGTTGGATTGGGATAGCGGGGGGTTGGAGGGGTTGGAGGGGTTAGATACATTTATATATTTTGTATTGTTATGCAATACATTAGCCTCCTCTGTTCTTATAGTTTTGTTGTGATGAAGAATGTATATACGGCCCAGTGATTAGGAATCTTACACAACTTTATATTCTTTGCACAGCATGTTATACTGTAATACTGCTTTACTACTACACTCTACGTGTATCAAGGGACTGTTTACTTATTAGAAGAAGGTTTTTTGATACTTATGGAAAGAGAGGTGTACGATGATTATTATAAAGAGAAGGGGTTGCTTTTATTCTGACACTAAAGCGTTTTAAATTAAGCTTGCTCAAATAAGTTATATCAATAAAATTTACATAACTAAACTTTTCTTTTCAGTGTTATCTGTGTTATCTGTTTTATCTGTGTTATCTGTGTTATCTTTGAACACCTATTCTAATCGGTAAGACAGAAAAGGTCATTTAAATTATTTAATTATTAAATACATAATTACAAATGGGAAAAAAAATATTTTAATGAGAAGAATGCTAATTGTAATCAGTACTTACAATTTATATACTTTTATGATTTACAGAAAGGAATTGAGTCTTTGCCACAAACTCTGCTTTTCTAAACCCTATATCTTTGGATTCCAATGTCGTAGACCTTAGATATTTCAAACTATGAATTCTGTTAGATCAAATAATATAAGTTTGAAATATCAAAGATTTACGACATTGGGTTCCAAAGAAATAGGGATTATAAATTAAGAGTTTGTGACAAAGACTCAATTCCTTTCGGAACAGTTCTGTTTCTGTTTCTTTACATCCGATCAGAACCTACAAACATTTTGGACAAGCAGCTGTCAAACAGTGATGGGAAATAACTTGGTTTGTTTTTACAATTTTTACAATTTTTTAAATCTGTTTTGTATAAAATTTTGCTTTCATTAAAGTAAAGGAAAAATAGAAGGGGGTATAGGCTGAAACCTGAGAACCTCAGGACTTGAACGAGACCTATAAGACATCAGATAGAACTCTGATAGGTCTCTATTAGCTACTGATATTCTCAGGTTTCAGCCTATACTCCCTTCCATTTTTCCTTTTCAGTCCCTTTTAAAAAAGCAAATTTATTAATCTTTAATAAAATTAAGGAAAGATCGAACCAAACTATCAAAGAATAATTTAGTTTTAGTAAAAACCAAAANTCACCCTGTAAACCTGAAATATATGGTCACCCTGTAAACCTGGAATACAAGGTCACATTTAAACCTGAAATATATGGTCACCCTGTAAACCTGAAATATATGGTCACCCTGTAAACCTGGAATACACGGTCACCTTGTAAACCTGAAATATATGGTCACCCTGTAAACCTGAAATATATGGTCACCTTGTAAACCTGAAATACACGGTCACCCTGTAAACCTGGAATACATGGTCACCCTGTAAACCTGAAATATATGGTCACCTTGTAAACCTGAAATACACGGTCACCCTGTAAACCTGGAATACACGGTCACCCTGTAAACCTGAAATATATGGTCACCCTGTAAACCTGGAATACACGGTCACCCTGTAAACCTGAAATATATATATAGATTCTTGTGCGTTTTCATGTTTTCCGTTTCCTAGTAATGGAAATATTATTCTCCGATACTTTATATCTGCGAGGAGAGTTGAGTGCGGAACTAGGATGGATTCCAGGTTGTTCCGTAGAGTTATACCGATTATTGGGAAGCTAGTGGACAGAGTGAACACTGGGAACAAAGCTAGGAAATAATCCACACCTTCAAGAAATAAACTGGAATCTCCACATCTAGAAAACAAATATTAAGTTATTAGAAATTTGAATAGTTTGAGAAGTTCAGATTCATTTATTTCCTCTCTTTGTTCTGTTAACAAAGGTAAACTATATTATATGGCACTTATATTATGCGATCTACCACGCTCAATTCAAGTATTTTTCAATTTAGATCGAAATCTTTCATATATTCATCTGGTTGGATTTTGTCTGGTTGTGTTTGTATGGTTGGATAGGATTGGGCTAGGTTGGATTTTGTCTGGTTGTGTTTGTATGGTTGGATAGGATTGGGCTGGGTTGGCAAAAGACAATTTACAAATTCTCTCTTCTCTTTATACAAGTAATAACAATAAGAATAGATATTAAACCGTAAACTGGATAAAGGAGGGGAGATGTACATACATTAACAAATATTTAGTTTATATTCTACAATTAAATAGACCAACATAGTTCTTTCTTCTTTATAACAAAGCTTTGTTTTACAAGGTCTTTAACAATGCACTACTCAGCACTATCAAACCATAATAAATATAAATATATGCATATCTAACACAAGTACTTGTAAAGAGCGATAGTAATATATGTAATGCAAAAACCGCCTTGCTTTATTTCTAATGGTTCGGATGGTTGCAAAGCACAGTTAAAAGCTTAATGTATTGGATGGTTGCAAGGTTTGGTTAGAACCTAAATGTATCGCATGGTTGCAAGGTATAGTTAGAACCTAGATGTTTAGGATGGTTGCAAGGTATGGTTAGAATCTGAATGTTCAGCATGGTTGCAAGGTATCGTTAAAACCTGAATGTATCGGATGGTTGCAAGGTATGGCTAGAACCTAAATTTATAGGAAAGTTGCTAGGTATGGTTAAAACCTGAATTTTTTGGACGGTTGCAAGGTATGGTTATAACACTTGAATGTAACGGATGGTTGCAGGGTATAAGGTTAGAAAAAGCGAATGTATAGGATGGTTGCAAGGTAAGATTATAAGAAGTGAATGTATAGGATGGTTGCAAGGTAAGATTATAAGAAGTGAATTTAAAGGATACAGCTTGTAGAGCAGGTTTAATTCGACGGAAGGAATGGAGAATGCGGCTGAATGCCAATTTTGACGACGAGTAAAAACTAATGAGATTTTTGTTTGCTTTTATATGGCAGAAGGTTCGTTTTCATCTTTTTTTAATTGCTTCCTAAGATTTGATTTATTTTTCTGATATATTTCCAAGAAGGTGAGTCACAAAATTAACAAACAAGATTTGCCATATTTTCCAAATTCCTAAAATCATTTTAGGCCAATCAAAAAAGATAGTGTTTGTATGAGTAAAATTTGAACCATTTCTAAAAAATATTTCGAAGAAACTCTCGTTCTATTTTCTGTTTTTCTTTCAAAATTGATCCTAGGCAAACATATATGGGTAAATGGCGGGGCGGAAATGAAGAGAAAGGAAAAAGGTTTCCAATATTTTCACGTCAAGAATAAGAATGAAAGGGGTTAACTTTATTCATCTATTATATATCTACATATTGTTTAAAAGTTAGAATAAAGTTGAGTACTTCAACTGCGCAGGACGGAATACGTTTTATCTAGAGTTCGGAGAGGTAAAATTTAATTTAACTGTTTTAAAAAATATAAAATATTTGTATTTATGATATTTTAGAAGTATATTTTATACAGGCCTGTGTCCCAATAAACATGCGAATTGAGTGACGAAGTCCAAATCGTCTTTGTCAGGAGTTGTTGTATTGCCTAATTTCAATGGTCAAAATAAAGTTACGTCTGCTAGAGTTTATTTTTTTGAAATGGTTTGTTATTCTGCAAAACCAAGGAGTATAGATTACATAGTTGGAGAGATCGACCCGATCCGCCGCACCATATGATTTTACATGCTAAACAGACGGTACTCCACTTGGAAAAGAGGTTTTTAAATGTCGTATTTTTATTTTTTAAATGGGGTTTTCAGTAAATAAAACTCCTTGTATAAAACCCTGTACTGTGTTTGTACAAGGGAATTTCTCATTTTACTAAGTACAACAGAATGCAATCAAAACATAAACAAACAAATTATTATCTCTAGCAGACGAAATATCTATGGATACAGCTTTTATATTTGGCATCACCAAACTTAATCAAAAATTTACAAAGACGATATCAAAATCGTCACTGAATTCTTATGATTATTTAAATTAATTTTAAACACTATACGTAAAATACTTTTCTTTAATACAATCTAAGATTTCGGTAATTTTCCTCTTTTGAGGATTTAAAAATTTTACAGATTAAAAACTTCTTAATAACAATCGGCCTCAAGCATTTCCTGTAATCATGAGAGGTCCCACAAAAAATGACTTCAGCCGAAGCAACGTTTATTGGCTAAAAAAATTTATAAATAAAAATTTACAAAATTTAGAGAAGACTTGAAAATCGTCTTTGATATTTAATGTATGACAAAGAAATTATGAAAACTAGGAGCTGTACTTCTTACGAGCTTTTCATAAAGTGGTCTAAATATATATATATAAATGTATATATATACTTTTCTCGTGTCGTAAAAATTGACCAGGATATTAAGACAATTTTGATTTAGTAAATAAATTGAAATTTTAAACTTTTTTTTGCAATATCACTGTCAATTTTGAAGATACAGAAATGGTAGACTACATTTTGAAAATCTTAAGACCAGGCGTTTACAATTTTAGATCTTTAAATCGGATTACTGCAAAAATTGTGTTCATGAAAAATCCCACATGGATCGAAGACGATATAAAGGACACTAAATTCCCATGTTTATTGGTACACCCTGTATATAAGAATAAAGAAAAAATATTAATGATGTAACATTTTCTAATCATCATTTTCAAAAAGAAGGAGCAGGAAAGAAATATTTTGAAACCAATAAATAAAAGAATGAAGGAATAAATGCGTTGCAGGTATAAATAAAAGAAGGAATAAATAAAAGACTGAATAAATAAATGAATGAATGAATAAATAAATGAATGTATAAATGAAAAAAAAATCTAAAAATAATGATTGTATTAAAGATTAAAGATGTAGTGAAGTATATATTGACCTGTCAGGTTTGAAAGCAAGAGTATATAGATCTGGAATACTGGGAAAGGCAAAAATTCCTTAAGAAAAAAAACGTTCAACGATTATGTTTTTCATACCCAAGTATTATAATACCAAAAAAATAAATCCTAGTAAAGAGAAGATAAAGTAAAACCAAAAAACAGGAATAAATCTAAAACCAAAAGTTTAAACTAAACCTCATGACAAAGGAAATAAACTTTAAAATTATAAACTTCAATAAAACTGATAAATCCAAAAAAAACCTTAAACCATGCAGAGTTTATAATAAAAGTTATAAACCAGGAATAAACTTTAAACCGTAAAAATGGAATTGAGGTTTTGCTATACACTCTGATTTTCTAATCCCTTGCACAGAATTAGGGACTAGAAATAACTCGAAAACCATTAACTTAAACTTACTTGATGAAACCTGGAAATAACTTGAAACCCATAAATTTAAAACTAAACCTGGAAATGTCATGTAACCCATGAATTTAAAATTTAACCTGATGAAACCTGAAATGTCTTGAAAACCATGAATTTAAAACTTAACCTGATGAAACCTGGAAATGTCTTGAAAACCATGAATTTAAAACTAAACCTGATGAAACCGGGAAATGTCTTGAAATATATAATTTTAAAACTTAACCTGATGAAACCGGGAAATGTCTTGAAATATATGATTTTAAAACTTAACCTGATGAAACCTGGAAATGTCTTGAAACCCATGAATTTAAAACTAAACCTGATGAAAAATGGAAGTGTCTTGAAAACCTTGAATTTAAAACTTAACCTGATGAAACCTGGAAATGTCTTGAAAACCATGAATTTAAAACTAAACATGATAAAACCTGAAAATGTCTTGAAAACCATGAATTTAAAACTAAACCTGTTAAGGAGAGAAGAAGATAAAATCCAGCAATAAGAAGATAGTCACCAGCTAATGTTACACCAATTTTATTCTTGTTCTTCACAGGACTAGTAATAACAAATATATAGACAAGGTATAGAATACCTACTACATGATTAGACAAGGTATAGAATACTACCTGATAAGACTAGGTATAGAATACTACCTGATAAGGCTAGGTATAGAATACTACCTGATAAGACTAGGTACAGAATACTACCTGATAAGACTAGATATAGAATACTACCTGATAAGACAAGGTATAGAATACTACCTGATTAGACTAAGTATAGAACACCTACTACCCGATAAGACTAGGTACAGAATACTACCTGATAAGACTATATATAGAATACTAACAGATAAGGCTAGATATAGAATACTACCTGATAAGGCTAGGTATAGAATACTACCTGATAAGACTAAGTATAGAACACCTACTACCTGATAAGACTAGGTATAGAATACCTACTACCTGATAAGACAAGGCATAGAATACTACCTGATAAGACTAGGTATAGAATCTACCTGATAAGACTAGATATAGAATACTACCTGCTAAGACTAGATATAGAATACCTACTACCTGATAAGACTAGGTATAGAATACTACCTGATAAGACTAGATATAGAATACCTACTACCTAATAAGACTATATAGAATACTACCTGATAAGACTAGGTATAGAATACCTACTACCTGATAAGACTAAGTATAGAATACTACCTGATAAGACTAGATATAGAATACTACCTGATAAGGCTAGGTATAGAATACTACCTGATAAGGCTAGGTATAGAATACTACCTGATAAGGCTAGGTATAGAATAATACCTGATAAGGCTAGGTATAGAATACTACCTAATAAGACTATATAGAATACTACCTAATAAGACTATACAGAATACTACCTAATAGGACTATATATAGAATACCTACTACCTGAAAAGACTAGGTACAGAATACTACCTGATAAGGCTAGGTATAAAATACTACCTGATAGGCTAGGTATAGAATACTACCTGGTAAGACTTGGTATAGAATACTACCTGATAAGACTAGGTATAGAATACTACCTGATAAGGCTAGGTATAGAATACTACCTGATAAGACTAGGTATAGAATACTACCTGATAAGGCTAGGTATATAATACTACCTGATAACGCTAGGTATAGAATACTACCTGATAAGACTAGGTATAGAATGATGACACATGAAAGAGTAGACGGATACCCCGAATACAGCTGGTATTGAATCCAAAGAATAAACTGCTGGAGAACCGTGCTCCTCATTTCTACACTCATCCAATCATTTATCACTCCTTGCTTTAAATATCGTTTCATTTTTTTTATTTTTTATTAAAGAATTTTAGATTTTTGATGTTGAACAAAAAAGCAATATAAGAGCTGGGAAATGTTGAGGAAATATTAGAGCTTGGAAAGCCATAAAATTAAAGAAGTAAATATGGCAGAAGACTATAATGTTTCAGGGATAAAACCTTGAAAGGTTTATTTAATGCAAATAATAAGAATACTCTGTAAAATATAAGGATTTAGAAGAATGAAAGAAGTAGAAAGGAGAAAGGAAACGAGGAGAAAGGAGTAGATGCGAAAGGAATAGTAAAGAGATAAGGAGGAACGATGAAAGGAGTATAGAAAGAAGAGAAGGAGAAGAGATGAAAAAACAGAAAGGAGAAAAGAAAGAGAAGTAGAAGATGATAAAGGAGTAGAAAAGAGAATAGAATAAGGTGTGATAGGAGCAGAACGGAGATAAGGAGAAAATGGAAAAGAGTAAAAAGGAGATAAGGAAGATTATGAAAATAGAAGAGGATGAGAGAAATGGGAGAAGTTGGAGAAAGAGAAGAGAGTGTAAGAAAATGAAGAGGATTAGAGAAACTGAAGATTATGAAAGAAAATGAAGAAGACTAGAGAAACGGAAGATCATGAAAGAAAATGAAAAAGATTAGAGTAACGGAAGATTATGAAAGAAAATGAAGAGGATTAGAGAAACGGAAGATTATGAAAAAAATGAAAAAGATTAGAGAAACGGAAGATTATGAAAGAAAATGAAGAAGATTAGAGAAACGGAAGATTATGAAAGAAAATGAAGAGGATTAGAGAAACGGAAGATTATGAAAAAAATGAAGAAGATTAGAGAAACGGAAGTTTATGAAAGAAAATGAAGAAGATTAGAGAAACGGAAGATTATGAAAGAAAATGAAGAAGATTAGAGAAACGAAAGATTATGAAAAAAGGAGGAGAGGACTACAGAAAATTGAGAGGAAGTATTGGGAAGAATGAAGAGTATGAGAGAAATGAACGAGAGTAAGATAAGGAAAAGAAGAATAGAGAAAAAGAAAAGGATGGGAGAAAGAGAAGAAGAAGAGATAAAAGGAAAGGATGAGAAAAACTGAAAGAAATATAAGGATGGAATGAAAGGAAGAGAGAAAGGGAAGAAATTGATATGAAGAAAGGAAAAGGATAAAGGGAGAGTGAATGGGAAGAAATTGATATGAAGGAAGGAAGAGGATATAGGGACGAAGAAAGATTGCTTGAAAGGAAAGAGAGCTTGAATATTTATAAATACTGAAGAGCAGAGTATAAAGTTGAAGAGTTTAAAGGTTCGGCTGAATTATATCAAAATTCTAATCCAAATTGGATAAGTTTAATTCGACCAGGATTATGTTGAGAGAAATTGTATGAGTTTCCTGTCAAGGATTCTAGATATAGAGAGACCAATCATAGCAGAGAATGCTACCCAGCGGAGCAAGGTGGTCAACATCTGCAGGTACTTCGTCTTCGTCACGTTGAAGAAGGTGAAGGGTCCGAGGAGAAGCAAGAATAGTCCAACATAAATCCTTTAATTATCAGATTATAAAAACAAACTTTCATTAATCGACTCAATTAAAATCTTTAAAGGACACCCAAAGTTCTTTTAGTGTTTAAAGGACCTAAGGCGTGATTCAAAGATTGGCAAGTCCGATTCACAACGGTACTCTTTAAACCGTTATCTGAGCAACAAATCGAAATATAGCAAGAAAGAAGAATGCAAGAGGTTTATAAAGAGAAACCATAATTTGAAACGGTCATTTTCAAGTGGAAAAACGCAGATATTATCAAAAATTTTCTCAGAAAACGGTTTAAAGGGTACCGTTGAGGATTGGACATGCCCCTATTTTTAAACATAGAGATTATGAAGATATATTTTTTTTATTTTTTATTTTTTAAAATTAAAAAATATAAAATATTGATTCATTTAAAGTATTTAAATAATTTCTGTTCAAATTATTATTACATTCTTAACATCTCTCTATCTAATTGCCTATTTAAAATTTATACTTTTATAATCAATTTATATTTAATGATCATTGTGAAATAGTTGACAATCAATGGAGTTTGTTATTTTATTATTTTTCTAGTTGTAATTAATGTTATTAACCTGTAAACATTACCCTTTGTAAGAGTAGAAGATGACCAGCATAGATCAGGGTTGGAGGAGAGAGAACTAATATTGGTTCCATTAGGACAGTTACTCTCTAGGTAGGAGAATAAATAGGAGAAACTGGCTCCGATATCTGGAAACTAGATCCTGTGATTTACGGAGTACTCGGATCCATATATTATCCCGGGATAATCTTCACAAACCAAATATTACTGAATTTTCTAATTTTCTATTTAATAGGACTGTTCCCGGATTAGAAAATTAGAACATGAAGTAAAGAAACCTAACAACATGGTCTCTGTTTACGTATTGCCAATTTAAAACATTTATTAATTATTTCACAGGAAAAGTTTTTTCCTGACGAACAAATGAAAATAATTGTAAACCAAAATATGTTATCACACAAAAGTATAAAAGGATTTTGCCAATTACTCCTTTAAAACTGAAGCTAGACTGTAAGCATATGGAATTTTGAAATAATCAAGTCCAAGGCTACAAAAAATTATAATTCAGTTTGTGAGGTAAAACCAAAGCCCAAGAAGTTGCGACACTTCAAAGTCGACGCGTTCTTAAAATCTTAGGCAAACCTCTTATATTGTTGTCTAGATATGGAATTGAGGCAAAGCCTTGAATAATTGGGAAAAAATGTACAAAGTTCAAAATTTATAAAAAATGTTATAAATATAATTCTTTTTTTTTGCATTGCTCAGTGTAATAGAGCTAGTTAGAGAACAAAAGCCCCTTATTTGATAATTTTTTTCTTCATCGTAATTTTGAAAAATTAGCCAACTTTTAAAAAGTTATGAGAGTTTCTTCAAATCGCTTTTAAAAATACAGAAAAAAAAATAACAGAAAATGGTAGATAATAAATAAAGGCTAAAATTATTACTGCAAAGGTTTTGTTTAACAAAAATAGTTTTTTTTATTTGAATCTTTTTTTTGTTATTTAGAATATGGAAATAAAATTTTAGAAATTTTCTGTACCTGCCTCTTCTGTACTCATTTGAACTGTACCTTCATGCACTGTACGTGCCAGTACTTTGTACTACATCTGCCTGCACTGTAACTGCATGTACTGACCTGTCCGAACTGTGCCTGCCAGTACTGTACCTGCATGTACTGTAATTGTCTGTACTGAACCTGCCGGTACTGAACCTGCGTGTACTGTACCTGCCTGGACTGTACATGTGACATCACGAAGAGATTTTGAAAGTGCTGTACAATAGATAGCTAGGTCTCCGTATAGGTACAGGATCATACACAGGGAAAACAAAACCTTCCCTGTCTACAGAATATTCATCAGATTGAATAAATGAACTTTTGAGCAAAGACATAATGAATGAAACAATGAGGGAAGACATAATGAATGAAACAATGAGCGAAGACAGGATGAATATAACAATAAGTGAAGACAATGAATGAAACAATGAGTGAAGACATATATAATGAATGAAACAATGAGTGAAGACATAATGAATGAAACAATGAGTGAAGACATAATGAATGAAATAATGAGTGAAGACATAATGAATGAAACAATGAGTAAAGACATAATGAATGAACCTATGAGTGAAGACATAATGAATGAACCAATGAGTGAAGACATAATGAATAAACCAATTATTGAAGACATAATTATTAAAAATTGTATAACTTAATTGTCAAGAATACCTTGTTGTACAACATATCCGCCATAGTCGCCAGCTCGAGTTGAATATTCAGATTACAAACTTAAACAAATAATAATTTATAATTTTAACATTTCTTGCTTTCTCGCTGAAATATTAGTCTCAAACTTTACAAAATATGAAAAACTAAAATACGAAGATTTAAAATTGACAAATATCTTTTATGGAAAAAATACTTAAAGCGACTTCAGGCGTAATTTCAAGTGACCAATAATTTAAAGAGGGATAAGCCTGATAAATAAAGTCCATGAAAGAAATGAACAGCCATTGTTTTGTTCACACATTTACAAAATCAAAAAGATATGCACAGTGATCAAAATGTTCTAAGTTATCAGTCAAAATCGAAGAAAATTTCGCCACTTTCTTTTCAAAACCAAGAGGTTATAAAAAGTGCTTTTTATTTCTAAAATGTACAGTTCTAGGGCTACACAAATTATCGGTAAACTACTGAGGTAAAATCAAAACACAAGGCGTTGCGACAATTTAAAAATGAACCATTCTTGAAAATTGGAAAATTTATGCAACTTTTCATAGTAGTCTGGATCTATGTGTACTGTATAGATTATCATATTTTAAAAGCAGTCTGGATCTATGTGTATAGATTATCATATTTTCATAGTAGTCTGGATCTATGTGTATAGATTATCAGGTTATCATATTTTCTATTTAGTATCGAGTCAACTCAAGATTAATATATTCAAGAGAGCAATAAATGGAATGGATTCTAATTCAATCTGATTACGTTTAGATTTAATATTTATAAATTCTTTCCACGATTTGTATTTACGTTTGTCAGCAGAGCACAGAGAAATTAAAAGCGAAAATTTCTGGGTAATAAAAATTAAAAAAAGAAAAAAATCCGGCTTTTTAATTATCGTCAATAAATTTTCAAAAGGAGTGACCTGTTTCTGTTTCTGTTTAGGATACAGAGTTAAGCTAACCATGAGATAATAAAATAAATGTTTTTTTTTATAAAGTATATTTCTTAATTTTTCCTTTTATTGTTTTTTTTTTCGATATTTTGAAAAGAAAATGTGTTTTTTTTATGGAAGTAAATTATTATTAAAAAAAAATTTGTTTGTATCAATATGAAAAGCTTGATTGTGTTTACCTGTTCTGCTCCCCAGCTCCGAGTCCGTAGTTCCGTAGTTATTAAACTGTATCTGTCCTGTCAAATCCGTCCTCACCAAGCATCCTTGATCACTGTAATCCTCGTCCTCAAAATAGTTTTGCTCCTTCTCTTCATCATCATCCTCTCCGTCCTACCCAGAGTACTGTTAAAAATGTAAAGTTACTCAATATAGGGTTTGACATATTTTACGTTGGAAATTACTTTTCAGTATCCTTATTCCCTGCCTCCCTATATTCCTAACATTTATACCTTATACAATGTTTCTTACCAATTTTCCATGCTTTTTGACAAATGGTTTAAAACGAAATTGACAAAAGCAGGGAACTATTGAATGGAATGAGGCCAATTTTAAAGAATTTGAGCCGCGGTTCAAATTTAAGCCGTAGATCAAAAATTGTTTGTTCCACTTAAATCTGTATTAAATTTTTCAAGATTTAAGCCGGCACTCAATTGAAGCCGGTTTTCGTTGGATTTGAGACGCGGCTTAAATTCATTAAATTTGGACACTGAATGAATAAAGCTCTAAAATTTACGACTACGTGTACGCGACTACGTCTATTTAAAATATCTCGCCCCTGATTTAAAAAAAGATTTAAAAGTTTCTAGTTCCTTGTTTACGGAATGAATTCGCCTTGTCTCTTGAACAGCATTAATTCCATTACACGCTGCCATAGTCTCCAGTACCCAGGTAGCAGTGATATAGCTGGTTAGAGCTAGGAACAGGAGAAGGATGATCCCAACCAACCAACCTGCAGCCTGGAATGCCGAGGGTAGAGCTAGAGCTCCGGTTCCAACTATAAGGTTGAAGATGAATACTCCAGCTGTTAGAGGAGACATAGTTGGGGGTCCAACAGGACCTGGAGATCCAACCATTCTACCTAAAACCATTTGAATTTGAAAATCTTGAAAAACTGCCAAACCAATATGTATTTGGCTGAATCTTCAATACTAAGAAAATGTTGGTAAAGGACTAAGACCAGCTCACAAAAGAAATAAAATATGTTTTATACTTATTCATTTATTTCTTTGGTTTAATCTATGATCCTAGTTGATTGTTTTATCCTACTGCCAAGTATGGTTGTGTATCTTAGTGTACATACATAAACACATGAATATATATTAAATATGTCTCTTTACTCCCAACCTCCTCCTTACCTCACCTCCTCTCCCTGGCCACACACCTTGGTTCCGTTCCAACTCTACTCCCCCCTTGTTCTTTTTCCTTTTTTGTTCCTTTTCCTACACTACCTCCTCTCCCTTTTGTTCCTTTTCCCACACTGCCTCCTTCCCCCTTATTCCTTTTCCTTAGATACCTCCTCTACCCCCTGTTCATTTTCCTACGATACCTCCACTACCCCTGTTCCATTTCCTACGATACCTCCACTCCCACTTGCTTCTTATCCTAAACTACCTCCACTCCCCCTTTGCTCCTTTTCCGAAACTACCTCCAAGGCTCCACACCCACTTGTTCCTTTTCTTACACTACCTGTACACCCCCTTGTTATATTTCTTACGGTACGTACCTCCACTCCCACATTTCTCCTTTTCTGACACCACCTCCACTTCCACTTGTTCCTTTTCCTGCATTACCTCTACTATCCTTTTCTGCCTTTCCTACGATACCTCCACTCCTCCATTGTTCCTTTTTCTTTAGTCGGGCTACACTACCTCCACTCCCCCTTGTTCCATTTCCTAAACTGCTTCCACTCCCCTTTGTTCCATATCATACACTACCTCCACTCCCCCTTGTTGATTTTTCTACAATAACTCCTCTCCCCCTTGTTCCTATTCCAACCCTACTTTCACTCCCCCTTGTTCCTATTCCAACGCTACCTCCACTTCTCCTTATTCCTATTCCAACGCTACCTCCATTCCCCATTGTTCCTATTCCAACGCTACCTCCACTCCCCTCTGTTCCTATTCCAACGCTACCTCCACTCCCCTCTGTTCCTATTCCAACGCTACCTCCACTCCCCTCTGTTCCTATTCCAACGCTACCTCCACTCCCTCTTGTTCCTATTCCAACGCTACCTCCACTCCCGCTTGTTCCTATTCCAACGCTACCTCCACTCCCCCTTTTTCCTTCTTTACCTACCCTACTTTCCTGTGTTGCAATCTAGGTTGGATTATTGAGGAACATATACGATATATACATTATACACATATTTATATATTTATGGTTTATTTATGCAATCTACTGCGAACCATCTACAATATGCCTCTTTATGTAAAAATGTAAATAAACATAAACCTGTAATTTTCCAGTGCTTGGGTAAATATATATTCAAACACACCTCAAAATCTACGAAAGATGTTTTTGAATATATGCTCAGTAATATCTGAGTATAGTAATTTTTTTATTGTATTTGAATTTTGTGATTGTTTTCTGTTAATTTTGTCTGCTGTATTTTGTTTTTATTTTTCATTTTTTATAGTTCTAATTTCTGATTTCTGCCCTTTTTTCTATATATGCCAAGTGTGTTTAGAAAAAACATGTTTCTAATTTATCCTGACAGACCCTAACTTCGCCCAACAGAATCTCTACTTGACCTCCCTCCCTTCATGTTCAAGTATTTTTATTTAGTTCTTTTAATATTACCACCTATCTTTAATGTTGACTTTTAGTTTAGTTTAGTTTAGTTAAGTCTAGTTTAGTTTAGTTTAGTTTAGTTTTATAAAAAGAAGACGACAGTTAAGATTTAAATACCAGGTCACGAAATATAATAACAAGTGGCAGATATGTCAGTATCACAATATTCACCGAATTTAGTTTAGTTTACATGCTACTCTGGCAATATGTTTCACACAACTAATATTAGTCAGCACTATAATATGAACCAACAAATGTGGTTAATTTCTCATTATCTTTCAGATAATATTTTATATTGCGTTATTCTAAATGTGGGGGGGGGGGGGGTAGAAATAAATCAGAGTAACAGAAGAAAAAAGTTATTTAGAGAAGGAGGAATAAAAAATGTGAAAAAAGGATAAGAAAATGAAGAAATTAATAGAAATAGAAAAATGGAAAAAAGTAGAAGAAGAAAATAAACATCAAGATAAATAAAAAAAGAAGAAAAAATGAAGATGAGAAAGTAGGAAGGAAGGATTTATGAAAAAATAGAGATGAATAAGTAACAAGGAAGGAAAAAGAAAAGTGAAGAAAGAGGAATGAGAAAGAAGGATAATTAAGGAATGATAAAGGATGAGATAGGAAACTGAGAAAGGAAGACTAATGTTTGGGAATAAGATTGTGAACTGAGTAAAGAAATCACAAGATCTGATTGTAAGTATAAGAGATATGAGTAGTTTAACGAGTTCTATCTATAGATTGTATCTTGATAGATAGATAGAAAAATTCTAGTCAGCTGATCTTTACAGGCTGTCAAAATATAGATTTAAGAATTTAATATTTAGCCTTCTGTAGCAGGTTCCTCATTCTCATTCACCCTACCTTATCCTTATCCTTCCTCATCTTCATCCTTCCTTATCCGCATCCTTCCTCATCTTCATCCTTTCTCATCCTTCTCCTCACTCATCTTTATCCTTCCTCATCCTCTTCCATCTTCATCTGCATCCTCATATTCATCCTTCCTTATCCGCATCCTTCCTCATCTTCATACTTCCTCATTCTCATCCTTCTATATTTTCGTCCTTGATCATCATCATTTGTAATCGTTAAAAGTATTGACCTGTAAATACTATATTAGCTAAAAACAAGTGTTCTTAGTCATTATTTATATTGATTAGTGTTGGTAAACAAAACAAATATATTTATATTGGTAACTCTTTATTAAAGGCCCAGGGGACCATGATAAATTAATGAAAAAATATAAAAACTGCAGAGGGATGAAAAACTGAAGACATAAGAAATTTTTAGTATAGTCATTTGGAAATTATTTGTTGCAAAGCTCTTCTTTGTATCTAGCTATAATTTGAAAATAAAAATAGATTTTAAAAATGTTGTTAATCAAAGAACAAAACATTTTAACGATTTTTTCTCTTTTATCTCTTGCATAGAACTGAGACTGATCCAGGAGTTTGATGAAAACACAATTATCAGAGTTCGATATTACTGTGACATCTGTTTTGATGAGGAAGAAAGAAAGGCAAAATTAAAAACTACATTCCACGCTGGTAGATATTGTGTGACTCCTTGCATAAATCGTGGGGATTCCCTTTAAGCTGAGTAAAAGATTGTATCCAAGTCAAGTTACATGGTGAGCAATCTACAAACTTTACTTTACTTTACAAGGTTGGGAACTTCAAGAAAACAATACAGAGAATACAGATTCTTTCCTTCCTTACTCTTCTACTCATCTTTATACAGGATACAGGATACACGAGAGAAAGAGGATACAGGACACAGGACACAGGATACAGAATACAGGAGACAGGGTACACAGGACACAGAGGATACAGGATACAGGATATAGGATTTAGGATACTGCAAGATATAGGGTGCAGTTTACAGAACACACAATACTGGATACGGGATACATAATACAGAATATACTGGATACACGTACAGGATACACAGAATACACAGGACACAGAGGATACAGGATACAGGATACAAATACCCATACAGGATACACATAATACACAAGTCACAGAGGATACAGGATACAGAATAAAGGATACAGGATAAAGGATACAGGATAAAGGGTACAGGATACAGGATACACATAATACACAGGACACAGAGGATACAGGATAAAGGATTCAGGATTCAGGATACAGGATATTGGATACAGGAAACAGAACAAAGGATACCGGAGAAAGTATGCACATAACTAAACAAAATTATTCTGGAAAACAAATTCTAAGATTTTAATCTCATTTAACAAAGGTAATGAACATGGATCTGAATATTTCAATTCAAATGTAGAGCTTAAGAGAAGAATATTAAATCATGAATTATCTTGGATAAGGAACCAGACATTGGTTCTAAGATGAACAAAACCTCATCAGAATATCAAACTATGAAAGGGAGTGTTAGCGTGATCTAAAGTAATTCTACATTTAAAGATGGAAATGCCAGATTCACAACAGTACCCTTGAAACCTTCATTTGATTAATAATGTGGGAAATATTGTCGTTTTTCTTGGTTTAAAAATGTTTATTTCTGATAATTCCAGCAGTAGAAATGCGCTATAGTCACTTTTGTAGAGAAACCACCATTGAAAACAATGAGCTTTCCAAATTATTAACTTCTAATTCATATTTAAACAGACAAAGCTTTTAAGGGTACCGTTGTGAATTGTGAATTGTCACTTGAAATCACGGTATTAGTCCCTGTAAGACGTGATTAACACAAAATTAATTAACGCTAAGTATCTCAGAAGTCGGAACACGATTGGAATAAATGTTTTTACGTTTCCAATTTCCATGTTCCACCATTTTCCTCCATTTTCCACCATTTTCCACCATTTTCCACCATTTTCCACCATTTTCCACCATTTTCCATCATTTTCCATCTGGCAGAATAAAGAGACAAAATCAAACCATTTTTCATTTAACGGGAGAAAATGGGATTGAAGACTCATTGAGTCTGAATCACCATGGGTCTCTGTATTTAACCCCCCCGGCCATACAAAGCTCATCTCCGGTTAGTTCAACCTAAATCCCATAAACCATGATCTTCAGAGTAACTGCAGAGAAGTCCTGAGCTAAATTTCGAAACTTTTACACAAATTTTTTTCCACTTAATTTCTGTCATGTTCTTTTTAAAATATAAGAAAATAGAAATGAGCAAAGAAAAAGAAAAAGTTGACCTAAATATACTAAAACTAGAACTGATAGTGTAACACAATCTATATACATACATGAATACATGAATATAAAGATAAACAAATAAATATAGAAATATGTGGTTTGATGTATGATGACAAACTCTTCTTGTTTTCTGATCAATGTTTTATATACGGGAGTCAGTACACACATCTATATAGTTCCTGTTCAGTTCCTGTTCAGTTCCTGTTCAGTTCCTGTTCAGTTCCTGTTCAGTTCCTGTTCAGTTCCTGTTCAGTTCCTGTTCAGTTCCTTATATTCAGTTTACACATTCAAGATATTGATATTCAGTTTACACATTCAAGATATTGATATTCAGTTTACACATTCAAGATATTGATATTCAGTTTCAAAATGCCTATTGGGGAAAATTTCCAAATTCAAATAATGCTTGTAATAAATTTTCCCGATTAGGGGAGGGGGCTGGGTTAGCATTAAATTCCCTGGGCCTGGACTAGAAGTTTAGTTTTTAAAATAAAACTCTAACTTGCCCCTGGACATAAGTCTAGCTTCGGACTTGTTTTGATATATTATCATTATTTAACAAACCATTTCATTTCAAATTAAACTAAAATATTAAATCAAGAATAATTCTAAGCCTTCACATGGTTACTAACTAGCATCTGTGAAGCTGATCCTGATTCATAATCTTTTTTGCCTAAAATTTATGTTTTTTTTTCTCATTTTATTATTTGAGGTATATAATTTCCTTACAGACAGAACATACTTTGCACTAGCTAATTTCGCGTGATTTATCCACCAATTAAATACTTACTTTTTTGTGGTTCCTTTCTTGCCAATAATATACATAACTATGGGAGAATATAATGATTTATTTTTATAATATAATGAATATGTTTCAAGACAAGTACAGGATTACAGGATATTTTTTAGGTTTAAGATCTTTTCTGACAAATAAGAAAACAAAAAAGTAGATTTTTTTGTGTGTTGAATAGAACGAGATAAAAACCAAATAAAATAAATGGAGGATATCCTGGGAAAGGAGAAAAAATGATTTAATATAATTTTTGGTTTAAAGAGTTGAAGCTTCAAGATCAGGAATATTAGAGAGACCTCCTCCAAACCATCCTCCCCAGGACCAGGTTGGTGGGCCCTGGAAAATTTAATCATTTAAAAAAAAAACGTTATTTATTAATATTTTTAAAGTATTCTTAAAATTTTTTGTTTAAAATATTAGACGTACCCTTGTAAAGCATGTGTTAGGAGTGACTGGTTGTTTTCCTTCAACCCAGTACATCATGTAGAAATTACACATTTCATCCTCGTTTGTAGTCCCGATATATACTGTCCTAAATAGCAGTTTTATATATATTAGTAGTCCCGATATATACTGTCCTAAATAGCAGTTTATATATATTAGTAGTCCCGATAAATACTGTCCTAAATAGCAGTTTACATTAGTAGTCCCGATATATACTGTCCTAAATAGCAGTTTTTTATATATTAGTAGTCCCGATATATCCTGTCCTAAATAGTAGTTTTATATATATTAGTAGCTCCGATATATGTAGTCCTATATAGCAGTTTTATATATATTAGTAGTCCCGATATATGTAGTCCTAAATAGTAGTTTTATATATATTAGTAGCTCCGATATATGTAGTCCTAAATATCTCCCTACCATCTATCCATAAACCTTATTCTCTACTCCCTCCCTACCATCTATCCATAAACCTTATCTGTAGAAGCTGGTTTATATAAAATTCTCTGTATAAAGAACATCGATTTGAGATGATCACGGTTCCTTGGCAAGTTTCAAGAACAATCCCTGAAAAACCAAACAGCAAAGCATATTTATATTTGTATGAATATGGTCTGAGTAAACATATGAACTGGATAGCTTATCAATCTTGGCATGTGTGTATTTCTAGACTGCAGAGAAAACCATGAAAGAGAAACTAGTCAGTCGAGCACTGAACCAAGAAAATATTATATTTTATCTCAATTATGGTTCTACTATGTTCTACTATAGCATCAAACTCCAGAGTCTGTAGCTAAAGAAAATTACGTCAGATTTGGAGTTTCGCCTTCTTAAAGTTTATAGTTTCATGTAACAAGCGGTTTGAGATGTTTTTAACCCTATTCTCCTGATATAATTCCTGATATAAACCAATTTACAATCACAAGATGTCAGCAAATGTTGCAGCTCAAGTTTTCCAAATAAGTTCTGATCCTTGCTGTAAATAAAGTCAAGGCTAAACTTTTGTATTTAGATGATTTCCCATCTGAGCAAATAAACTTCTCTCAGTTTTATGTTGTTTTGATTTCTCAGCAGTCTAATTCTTCAACTTTAGCTGGGTTTTTATTCTTTCTTCTCAGACCAATTACATACTAGCGGGGTAAATAAATGTTTGGGGTTGACTAGCCTCTATCTATGTATATCTATATCCAGTCCCTTTTTCAGTTTTATGTTAATTCCATACTCTCCGGTTTCACCTACTATATCTGATCACCACTGTTGTACCGTACAAATATACGAGCAAGTACGCCAAAAGTTGGGTTGTACAGGCCTGCGACCCCTGGAGATAAACTAACCTGTCTCTGTTGTTGACCATGGTGCACCTCGCTGCAATAGTGTCCCCCTTCCGTACCGTCATCTCCGTCTCTATAGGGTAGAACATCTGGGGGAGCATTGGATCCTTCTTACCGATCAGTTTCCAATTATTCTTATCCCGAACCCTCCATCCAGATACAACCTTTCCTGAAACACTCGCCCTTGATATAGGTTTTAAATCAATCCAGTCTTGACATCGAAGTCCATTACAAAAGATTAAAGGGACTATTTACAATATTACACTTGAAACCTAAATCTGATGTAGACTCAAAAAGTGTTTATTTCCTTAAATTTCTCCATGGTTTCTTATAAGCAAGAAATACGCGTCACTTTTGCAGAGAACACACAAATGAAAATTAAAAAAAAAAGCCTCTTGATCTGACAAATCTTATTTATAGGGCATCATTGTAAATCGGGCATTGTCAACTTTGCATGAAGGGTCACATGAAATAACGCTTAAAGACCCTTTATGGAGAATAGTTTTGCACAGAGATAATTAAGCTGGTTCGCCTTTTCACGAAACCCCATGCAGTTGCTTTGCAGAAGAAAGTCGTTCCTGAAGAGATGACGACCTTACGGCATTCATCACATTTATAGCATCGAGTAAAGGTTGTCGTGTGCTCATCAGAAAAATAGAAACATTATTTAGAATAAAAATATTGCTATGCGAAGAGTTCTTCTTACAAAAACAGTTGATTGAATTTAGTGTAAATGGAGAAATCTACTAATTCAAATGTCGTCATCCTCGGAAGAAGAATGTAAAGTCTTCAAAGATATGCAATCGCTGTCATTATATAGATATAAAGACTTACAGACCTTTTAACTCCTTTCAGTTTTCATTTACATACAGTATTCTTCACTTTCTAATAATGGAATGTTGCAGATATTTAGTTTTTTAATTAAATGATTATATGGAACTCTATGAAACTGTTCCCGCATATATTCGTGGCTATTTATTTATGTTCAAAATTACTGAGATTTACGTAAAATAGTATAAAAACCATCGAAAAATTGACATTTGATAAATTCTTTTGATGTATGGCTCATTTAGAGTTTAACTGTACAAAAAGTTCTATAAGTAAAGTTATTTAGTTGTATATGGGAATTTAAGAATGTATTTTTCTTATCCACAGCGACCGAAGATATGTTTATACTAACTTTGGTTCAATGAAAATGCACATCCTGAAGTATTAAAAATATTTCTTAATTTCTATTTATAGAATTTTGACGAGTGTAATGTAAATCATTATCTCCACGCATTGTTCAGTGATAACCAGAAACTCTGAAATAGGAAGACGACTTTTAAACTCAACTCAACTTAAACTACCTATGTAGTTCAATGAACATTAGACATAGCCATTGTACGTAGTGTAAATAGATCCGTTTTACTTAAATTGTGCTTTGCTAGGTTAATAGTAAAAATATTTGCTATGTAAAACTCACAAAATCAAAACTAACAAAGTATATTGCTATAATGTCGCCTTTCTACTCTATTGTTTTCTGGTTATGACTGTATTGTTAAAACTAACCTAGCCCATGCGTGTGTGTCCTAAAAGCGAAAGGATGGATTTCTCTTGTATCCTCAATCTCACAGGAGGTTTCAAAATATGTTGTTGAATGTGCAGGAGCAAATCCTCCGGTTCCTAGGAGAAGTACTCCAGCAGATTTAGGTTGCTGCTCCTCTGTATACTGGAGGAATACACCGCTATCATCTCCCTTCTCTGGGATCTCGTCAATACTAGCATAGTGAACCTGGAGTACCAGATACTTGATACTGGAGTCTGCACCAACCCTTTAATAATAATCATGTTAAAAATATACGAAACCTTTTTTAGAGATTTTTTCTAAAAGACGACATTTGTTCAAACCTTTTTTGAGAGAAGACGAGGAGAGACAAGACGAAAATAAAGATAAACAATGTACATTAATTTTTTGCACTTTACCAATTAACGTTATGCATTTGTAAACTGTCCAAGAAATAAAAAAAAACATGTTTTTAGTATTTAGGGACAGTTATAATTGTTAGAGGTAGTAATGCATAGTTTAACTTTTAAGACCATATGTATATCTGCAGTCCAAAGATAATATATATATAGATATGCAGGCAGGTAGAAACCTCCTTCCTAAATTGCTTGTAGCAGACAACTAATTTTTGAACCTCTGAGAGAAGGTGCGAGGAGAGACATCTATAGCAAATTGATTACTTTCTATATTCCTTTCTCCTCTTGCTGCCATCTGTAGGAAATACGCATTTGTGTTATATAAACATACAGTACGCGTATTGCACCCTGTATAGTTCAAGTGTTGCTATATCTGGACCTGTTTGACCAATAAAATTAAATTTCAAGGTAACACAAACATACAGTACGCGTTTTGTTTATGTTATGATCAGTTGTACTTACGAAACATGACAATAGCAAGACGACTTGAAAGTCGTCTTTGGTATTTGAATTTATTTCTGACATTTAGTCTTCTATCTACTTTAACATGTATAATTCTTGAAACAAGTATCACATAATTCTCCTAGCCCTGGCATTTCCAAAAAGTGGTCTGCGTTTTCTGTGCTTTCAATATTACCGGAGATATAAAGAGTTTGGTTCAGATTTCAATTTTGTTAAATAAAAGCAAAATTGTCGAAATCTGAACGAAATTCTTCATATCTCGGGCAATATTGAAAGCACAAAAAAGGCAGACCACATTTTGGAAATGGCAGGACAAGGGAAATTTTGTGATTATTATCTCTAGAAATTTACTTCTAAAATTAGGTTGACAAATAAA